ACGTGGACGACGGCGCGGCAGGCTCGGCGCTTGGCCGCCGCGCGGGGTGAGTGCGCCCGGAGCCCCTCCTGCCGCCTCGAGTCCGCACCTCCTTTGTCCTCTCCTCTCCCCGTCCTCCCTCCCGGCTCCTTAATTGGGGGGTGCGTCCCCGCGCCCAGCGCGCGCCCCGCCAGGCCCTGGGACAGCGAGGCCCCCTCCCCCGCCCGTGCGCGCACTTCGCGGAGAGAAAACTCCGGACCGTTATGCTCCGCGCCCCTCCCCCAGCCGGGGCGGGGCCAGGGCTGTGCTGGGGGCGGGGCGGGGGCGGGGATCCCCGTTCCAGCCCCCACCCCGGGAATCCCGGAAAGTTTTGCTCCCTTGGTTCCCCGCCCTGAACCCCGGGCGTCAGGGCGCTGATGGTAGACGAAGGGCTCCGCACCCAGGAAGGGGTTGGGGTGCTTCTGCTGGGAAGGTTAGAGCCGCCTCCCCTGCCTTCCCCCCAGCTTTGCAGGCTCGCAGCTGCACCCCACATCTGTCCCCGGACTCCTTTTTGCACCCAGGACCCCCTGGAGACAGACACAGCTTGGATGTTGCGGCCCCTGATCTGAGGGGCTGCTCGAGGCTGTGCCTTTCTCGCCCTCGCCTGGGGCCCTTGAAGCTGGGGTAGGACCCCCACCCGCAGGTGAGGGCGGAACCCTGAGCGGGCCTGTGTGGGCTCGGCTGCTTGCAACAGTTCTGCTCTGGGGTGTTTCCAGGACATAGAGGTCCGACGTGGGTCAGGTGTTCCGTGGGTCCGATGTGCAGTAGGCCCGGCTTGGTTCCATCCTTGGTGACGGGGGGAGGAGTGGAGCACAACGCCGCACGATGGGAGTTAGGCTGTGATGGCAAGCGCACGGCGTGCTCGGGGTTCTGAGAGGCGCGGGGACTAGGGGCACCACAGGGGCTGCCTAGGGGAAGGGACAGCTGGGGTTGGACGGAGATGAAGGAGGACGTGCTGGGCAGTTGGGGGAAGGCAAGGGGCACCCTGGTGGCACAGGTGTGCGTGCCAGGGTGGGCAGCTCAGGTGGGAGCCTGGGGTTTGGACAGGAATGGGAGCTACTGGGAGCCCCGGAGGGTTGTAGAGCAGAGCAAGGGTAGTGCTGGGCTGAGGAAGGCCCGAGGGCAGGAAGAGGAGTCCAGAGGAGAAAGACCAGGCCGGGATCTGGGGTGCAGTTTGAAGGAGGCTCTCACCAGCCAGGTGGAGGAGGAGCCGCTGCTGTGGCCTCCGGCAGCCTGCTGGGGATGCTAAAGGCGGAGCACAGAAGCTGGGAGCCAGCAGGGTGTGAGCAGAGCAGGAGGCCTGGATCTCAGCGACCCTGGTTCTGAGAGGGAGCCAGCATGTGGGCCAGGGCCAGGTGATGCTGGGCAGGGCGGGCTCGGGTCCCCTCCTGCATGTGGGTCCCTTGGTGAATGGCAGTCCTTCTCTGTGCCTCAGTGTCCTGATCTGTCACCAGGAGCAGTCACAGGGTCCCCAGCAGGTATGACCAATCTCTTCCTCCCCCACTGATCCACTCCTGCCCCTGGGGACCCTTGGAGACGGTGCCCTGAGCCTTCACATCCTCCTGCTACGAACTCCAGCCTCGGTGCATTTCCTACCCTGGGGAGCAGGAGGCCGGGTGGGGCCCGGGCTTGGCCAAAGTGCCTGACACAAGCAGGGGCCGCAGAGGTGGCGCTGGGCGGGCGGGGACTCTCACGGCACAGCCGCCTGGCCAGGAGGCCCTGAGAGGGTGCCAAGCCCTGCTGGAGTGGCCAGGGGGTCCTGGGAGGCCCCCAAAACAGGATCCAGGCAGCGGGTTAGCCTCAGGTGGAGAGGTCACCCTGGCCCTGGTCCCCTCCCCAGCCCTCTGCTCTCATCTCCAGCCAGGGATCCTGGGGGAGCCTGGCTTAGGCACGTGAGTTCCGAGGCCTTGTAGGACCCGCAGGGTCAGATGCTGGGGCCACCACCTGAGCCGGGAGAGGACACCGCCTTGTGCAGTGATGCGAAGCCTGTGGCCGCCTGGCCTGGGCCATAATCACCCCTTTATGCCAGCTGGGCTGCGTGGGTGCTCAGAGCCTGCTCCAGGGCCGCGTGACCCATGCCCTGGCGCCTGGGGGGATGGGGGCCGCTCTTCCCTCCCCCGCCCAGTCACTGTGTGACGCACGAGGTCCCCCCAGCTGAGGGTCTTGAGGGAGCCCCTGGGCCTTCACGAGCCTCAGTTTCTCCTCTGTGAAGGGCTGATTTGCCACCAGGAGCAACAAGTGGGCAGCCCAGCGTCCAGCACAGAGGACACTCTTGGCTGACAGCCACCTGGGGCGCAGGGGCCTCGGGGCACCTGGGTCCCGGTAGTCTTTTCTGCTCTCCACCCCCAGCTTGGCCTCAGTGGCCGCCTGCCTGTTATTTCCTGCGGCCCTGTGGACTGCCCTGCTCTGCCCTGCCCTCCCCAGCAGCTGCACCTGCCTCAGTTTCTTCATCTTGTAGTGGCAGTGCTGGTGGCACAGGCTGCTGGGTTAGACACAGGGACAAGAGGAGGCTTGCCCTGTACTCCACTGTCTGGATTCTGTCCACACCTGGCTCTTCCTAAGCTGCTTGTCCTTCCTTGTGGGGAGACACCCTCGAGCCCAATTCCCATTCACTATTTAGTTGTGAGCCCGTTAATAATAATTGTGTTAAATGCAGGCTCTTGTGTAAAGGCCCTGGGGCAGCACAGGAGCTTGGCGCCGTGTAGGAGCAGAGGGAGGAGGGGTAGAGAAAGCGAAGAGGGCAGAGGGGCCAGGTAGCTGAGCAGGGCCCTGTGGGCTGGAGGAGAACCTGGACTGTGGGAGGTGGGAGCCACGGTGCCGTGCGCCTTGCCCTCTGGCTGCTGTGGAGAGGACAGGCTCTGGGGGTGGTTGGGAACCAGGGGACCACGTCGGTCCAGGTAGGGGCTGAAGAAGGGACTGAGCCGTGGGAAAGTGCGGGAGCTCCCCGAGGACCCTTGTGGTGTGGTGCTGTTTTCTTCTAGTGGCTCAGGGCAGCGGGTCCCTGGGTCTTCCAGGAAGGGAGACTCCTGCCCTGGCCTGAAGTTGCTGGGGGAGGTCAGGGAAGGGACCCAGGGCCTTATGCTTGCAGGCTCGCCCTGCCCGGGGCCTCTGCATGTGTGATCACCGTGTCTGCACAGCGGAGGGGCCCGTGCTCTGATCCACTGTACCTGGCATGGTCCTGACCTTGGAGACAGGGTGGCCGAGACCGCCCAGGACTAACCCTGCCCACTGCACAAGGTGCTGTCCCTGCTCCAGGGTGGGGCACGGGGCCTGTGAGTATGGGACACTGCCTCAGTTTCCCCAGAGGTACTCTGAGAGCTGCCCCGCTGGCCCAGGTGGCCCAGGCCCAACCCCTCCTGCCCACAGAGACAGCTGCACAGATGGCCCATGGGGTGGGGCAGCCGCCGCGGTCACCCTGGCCCTGCTGGCTACCGCCCGCCTTCTGCTTTGGGTCCTGGTGCTGGTAAAGGGCCTGGGGCGGGGACCGAGCTCCTGGTCCTCATCCCTGGGCTGTGCCCCGTGTGCGTCTGTGGCCTCACTGTGCGTGGGGCCCGTGTGCGGCCTGCAGGGCCGGGGTCTCACTGTGTGTCTGTGTCCCTGGCCAAGGGGACCCTGCGTGGGAACCATCTGCGACCAAGTCTGTGCCCGAAGGCTGACCCCGTCCCTCCTCTCCGCAACTTCCCCTGGGGCCTCAGTCCTGGGCTGGGCGCGGAGACCACAGCGGGTATTTTGGGTACTTTGGGAGGCAGAATCCTGAGCCCGCCTGTCATTATAGGGTGCCATCCCTGTGGCCAGGCCAGGACCCGCCTGGGGCAAGTCCTCCTCCCTCCTCAGCCCGCCCGGCCCTTCTGGCCCCCATGGAGCTGGGGAGCTGGGCAGCAGGGCGGGTGACTGGGGAGCTTGTAGGAGAATCGAGCTGGGGTCAGTGCCTCAGGGGATGTGGAGTGAGAGGGTTGTGTGCATGCATGACCTTTGAGGAGCAGAGGGAGTTCCTGAGGAGGTGATAACCAGGCCGAGACCCTCCTGGCCCCGTGGGGGACACGTGTCTGGCAGGGGCGGAGGCCAAGGGTCAGAGGCGAATCAGCTGGGGCTGCCCAGGGCCGGAAAATGCAGAGTCAAGTAGGGTCTTTGAACTGGCAGAGATGGAATTTGGGGTGCGGGGCTCTTAGTCCTGCCTAGGGCTCAGCCTGAGGTCGGTGCTGAGCCAGAAGCGAGGCCCTGCTGGGAGCTGGGGGCCGGCAGCCCCAACGCCACAGCCCCGGCCGGCCGCGCGGCTGTGAGCACAGGGCGTTCTGGGGTCTGAGGCCGAGGCTGGGACTGTGTGCTCGCTCTGTCCCCAGGGGCTTTGTGCGGCCTCTGGGGGTTTTCCCTTCCCTTCCTTTCCTGCTCCTTCCTTTTCTCCTATGGGGGTTGAACCCGGTACCTTCGTACTGATCTCCACCCCCAGCACCCTTTCATTTTTTTATTCTAAGACAAGGTATTGCTCATGCAGTAAGTTGCCCAGGCTGGGCTGGAACTTGGGCTCCTCCTGCATCAGCCTCCTGAGTGCCGGGGGACGTGCCTGCCTCTGGAGCCTCTTCCCATTCGTGAGGCTCCGTCTCCCTGACTTGGTCCCTCCCGAGTCCCCTCCTGACCCTGTCTCGTGGACCTCTGGTTCCCACCTAGGAATTCAGGGCCCCCAGGAGCCTGAGCCTGCGACCCTCCAGCCGCGCTTCTCCGGGGTCTGCGGCTCTGCCTTCTCCGTGCGGCCCCCACTCCCCTCCCCGGTCTCACGGACCCCATTGTCTCTGCAGACGCTGCCCCTGCTGACGCCCAGCAAGAGGCCTCTCTTCGAGGGACGGGGGGGCCCCAGCCCCTCCGGGGTGGAGGTCGGAGGTCACTGCCAAGCATGGCGCGCGCCTGGGGTCCTGGTGTGGCGTCTGTGGTGGGTCCTGTGGGCCTCGTCCTGGTCCTGCTGGTTGGAGGCTGCACCGCAGAAGGTAAGAGGTGGGGGTAGGTCCGCGTGGGTCTGCAAATTTACTTACGTGTGAGAGTGAGCGTCCCTGTTCCCCCTCGGTGCACGTCCAGTTCTTCATTCCTTCCTTCTATGCAGACAGGACAGTGGCGCAGGGAGGTGGACTGCGGTCCGCTCTCAGGGAGCAAAGGCTTCGGAAAGGAGAGGCTGCCAGGGGACACTGGGGGTGTGTTCTGCAGGGGCAGGTGGAGGCGTGTCAGCAAAGGTTGCACTGAGGAAAGACTGGAAGGACAGCTGTGTACTCTATGAGAATCCGGAGGACAGATATCCCAGGTAGAGGGCAGGGCTGTGCAAAGACCCTGGGGCAGCATGGAGCTTAGCAGGGTGCAGGAGCAGCAGTGAAGCTGCATGGCTAGAGCCAAGGGAGGAGGTGTGAGCGGGCGCAGCGTGGGCAGGGAGATGAGCAGCTGTGCAGGGCTGCGGGAGGACCTGAACTGTGGGAATCGCGGAGGGCAGAGGGCAGAGAGGGGAGGACCGGGCTCAGTGCTTGCGGCGCCCCCTGGTGGCTGCTGCAGGGAGGGAGGCTGCTGGGTGGGTGAGAGGTGACAGGTATGGCCTGCACCTGGGCCCCAGGGGGCTGCAGGCGTCTGTGGGACTGAGGCTCAGACCCGGCTGTACTCCGAGGTGCAGGGAGCAGCTGTGGTTCAGGCGGCCGTGGGAGCTGATCCGGGTCCTCGGCCCCAGAAGCCCACGTGTGACCCCCGCTGCGAAAGCAGCTCTGACCCAGGGGTGTTCCGGGGTGCGTTGGGGCCGGCCCTGGGTGGCTGGGGACCGGGACAGGAGGCTTGGGTGGGCCCCCAGCTTTGGCGCCAGATTCTCCTCTGCAGAACTCGACATGGAGAAGCAGCAGGGGCGCGGCAGCCGGGGAGGCCGTGGGACGGGGACCCCGCAGTCACAGGCGCCCACCCCGGGCCCCTGCCTCGCCCTCCATGCAGTGCTGCACCGCGCAGTGGCTCCAGGCAGCTGCTCGGCCTTCGCAGGGCCCCAGGGGTTTTTGGTTGTTTTTCTTGGTCCCTTTGGCCAGAGTCAGAGGAGGACTCGTGCCAGGCACAGGCTCCAAAAATCCACCGGATTCCTGCTGGGGCCATGGAGGGCTGCGGGCTGAGTCCCAGCGTCCCTGAGGGAGGGTCAGACCCGGTCACTGTGACTTCACCGTGTTCTGGGGGGGACACACACTTGTGACCAGGTCCCCGATCCTGCGGTCAAGAGGAGGAGGAGGGGTGGTCCAGACAGGGAGAGCTGGGGAGGAGACGGCTGTCAGGCCCAGGGCCAGGGTGCCGCGGGGCTTGGGGCAGAGACGTGGGTTCTGATTTGGCTGTTGTCATTTCTGGCCTTGGGCGACCTGGTCACGTCCCCAAGTGCTGTGGGGTTAATGGTCCTTTGTGGGGTTGAGTGAGGCTATACCTGCCCATGTGCAGGGTCCACTGATTGCAGGAGAGAAACTCAGAACCGATGGTCGGTTGCATCAACAGGAGCAGCATCTCACCTAAGGGAGGTGAGGCCAGGCAAACCAGTCAGACAGGGACTCCTCTTGACTCAAAACCCAGCCTGAGTGTGAGGGAAGGAGAATGGGGCCTTGGGAGCCCAGATTTGGAGCTTGCAGCTTCCTTGAACTTCTCCGTTCTTCTGTTGTTTTTTTTTGTTTTTTTTTTTGTTTTTTTTCCGGTACCGGGAACCGAACTCACGACCTTGCGCTTGCCAGGCAGGCGCTTTTGCCACTGAGCTAAATCCCCAGCCCTTCTCCGTTCTTCTGAAGATTGGAAAATTCACAGAATCTTTTGAGAGAACCCGTGTGTCCTGTTACTGCCCAGCCATCTCTATCCCTTCCTGGAAGCCTAGAGATCAGTGTAGCTCAAGTTTGAGGGCTCAGCTCTGCCCTGCCTCTGACCCCCAAAGTTTTATTTATTTAATAATGGAAAAACACTTTTTAAAGATCAGTATACTTTTTTGTTTTTCTTTTTTGAGATAGGGCCTCCACTGTATAGCCCAGCCTGTCCTGAAATTTGCAGCAGTCCTCCTGCCTCAGCCTCCTGAGTGCTGAAATGGATAGCAGGCGTGCACCGCCACACCCGGCTCAGCTTACTTTTTAAAATGCTTTTACAGTGTGTAACTTCAGTTTATCTCTAAATTGTTCTAAATCTAAAAGGTATACCAAGATGGGGCGTGGTGGCACACACCGGTTATCCCAACACTATGGAAGGCTGAGGCAGGAGGATCGCAAGTTCAAACCTAACCTGGGCAAATTAGTGACTTAGTGAGACCCTCTCTCAAAACAAAGAATAAAAAGGGCCAGGGTGGAGCTCGGAGCAAAGGCCCTGGATTTAACCCTCAGACAGGCGCCCGCACAGCCTGCCCCGTTTTGCATTTTCCTCGATCTCGTACAGCAGGCGCGTTTGCTGTGCCTCCTGCCCCTCTCCGTTCTTCCAGTTCAATAGAAAATCTCGTCCCCTCCTGAGAAAGGGCCTTTGAAAGCATCCTTTGTGCTCTGCTATCTGTGGTGCATCCTGCTGCATCTCTACCCCACCTCTCCTTGCTCCCCTGTCTCGAATGCGGCCTGCCGGGTGCGTGGCCTGCATCCCCAGGGTATGGGTAAAACCCCTAGGTGGAACTTCCGGCTTGCAGGATACGCGCAGCGAGCGGAAACCTAGCGTCCCTTGGGGCGCCTCAAAGGTTACTATGAACATAGCTGATAAAAAGGAAACAGTGTCACTGATTTCTCCACAGAGACAGAACCTGCCAGGTGCCAGCGTTACCAGCCCTGGCACCACCCGCCTGCAGCTCTCTTGAGACGAGTTTTTACCTCAGGTTGCTGTGGGGTGAGGGAGGTGGGCACAAGAGCCAGGTGCTGCCCCACCCACCTGGAATCCCAGCACTCTGGGAGGCTGAGGCAGGAGGGTCACAAGTTGGAGCCCAGCCTGGGCAACTTGGTAAGACCCTGTCTCAAAATAAAAAAAGGCTGGAGGGGGAAAGAAAAGTACGTAGTTAGCCAGGTTTGGATGAGGTTGGGTAGCAGCTCCACCCCACCAGATCTGTGCCTCAGCTTTCCCTGAGGATAAAATGGGGATGATGAGAGCCCCGTCCCTTAGCACTGCTGGAAGGGCCGGCTGTTTTCAGTCCCCAACCCCTGCATTTAGCTCGTACCACTTCTAAGAGCTCTGGGTGTGAGGGCTTCAACCCCACCTCTCACGGTCACCCCTCTCCCTGGTGCCTGTGGGCCCCTGGGCCCCCAGGGGGTTAGACCAAGCTGTCTCCTTCCAAGTCCTTCCAGGGCCTGGAATGTAGGACCTGGAGTCTCAGAGTCCCCTCCTGCCATCCTAGGGGCCTGGGTCTGAGCAGGTGTCCAGGTGAGATCCTCCTGCCTCCCACACCTCAGGGTGTGTGTGACTGAGTGTGTGTGTCACCTTGGTGGCCGGATGGGAGTGAGGGACAGTTTTGTGGTCCTGGGTGTCCCAGCCATGAGCTGCCAGGATCCATGGGGGCCCCCCTTCCTTCCTGTTGAATCCCAGAGCCCCCCAGGTTCATCAGAGAACCCAAGGACCAGATCGGTGTGTCGGGTGGCGTGGCCTCCTTCGTGTGCCAGGCCACGGGCGACCCCAGGCCCCGGGTGACCTGGAACAAGAAAGGCAAGAAGGTGAACTCGCAGCGCTTTGAGGTGAGTCCCAGCCGGACGCGTCACGTGCGCCCTCGCCACCCTGGCCCTGCTCTCCCAGAGGCTCAGCTGGCTCACGTGACACCGTACACTCGAAAGGAAGTTCGCGTGTGAGCATAGACGCGCATACTCGCACACCCAGTGCTCCTTCACACACCTCGGCACAGCTGTCATACAGGCTTACATGCGCACGCCAGCCACGCCCGTGTGTAACACCTGCATCACGTAGATCAGTCCCAGTCTGCTCTGCTGCCGGGACACTGCACCGACCTCCACACTCACAGGACCAAGGTGTAAGCCGGTCATGGTTTCCGGTGGGTCCAGTCCATGGTCACCTGGCCGCATAGCAGGAGCAGTGTGGCCGCGGATGCAGCTCAGCGGCACAAGCACCTGCCTGGCAAGTGCAAGGTCCAGAGTTCGATTTCCAATACCAAAAAAAAAAGGCAGAAACAACATGGCAGAAGGGTCTGATGGAGAAAAACTGCAGGCCTCATGGCGTTGGGGACAGGAGGAGCCGGGGACAGGCGTGTACCCTGCCAAGCCAGGCCTGACGGCACACGCCTGTTATCCCAGCCCCTTGGGAGGCTGAGACAGGAGACTCAAATTCAAGCCCAGGCCTGGCAACTTAGTGACTTTCTAAGGTCCTGTCTCAAAATAAAGTAAAAAGGGGCTGAGGGTGTAGCTCAGTGCAAAGGTCCTGGATTTGAGTTCTAGTACCAAAAAAACAGGTGCCCTTCCAGGTCACATTCACATCCCCAGCCCCCCACCTCCTCACAGCACATTCGGCCATGAACTCATCCATACAGGAATCCGCTGGGGAGCACAGCGCCCCATGGTCCAGTCGCCCTCCCAGAGCCCGCCTCTGAGCACCTGCGGCTTTTGGTGGCATTTAGACCTAAACCACAGCGTTACCCACATCCACCCTGGACATCTGCGTGCACACGTGTGCAGCCCCGGCTCTTCCCCTTGCCCTTCGACTGGGGAACCCAGCGGCCCGCAGAGCTCAGCTGGACGGGAACCTTCCTGCGCCCCAGCCTCACCCCAGCCATTCTCCCCATCCACGCAGACAATCGAGTTTGATGAGAGTTCGGGGGCCGTGCTAAGGATCCAGCCCCTGCGGACACCCCGGGACGAGAACGTGTACGAGTGTGTGGCCCAGAACTCCGTGGGGGAGATCACGGTCCACGCCAAGCTCACCGTCCTCCGAGGTACCGGGCTCCTCGGGGTGGGCGGAGGAGATTTGGGCTGTGGGCTTTGGAGACAAACACCAAAGGAGTCCGTGAAAGTGGCCCAAGCCTTCTGGCCTTGGGTCTTTTCCGAGGACTTCAGTTTGCCAGCTCTAGCCTGTATCATCACTGGGGTCCAGAGCCTACTACAAAGACTTCTTGAGCCTTTAAGAGAAGTGTGAGAAAGACACCTTGGTGGCCCATGCCTTTCTCCCCAGCATTTGGGAGGCTGAGGCAGGAGGATCTCAAGTTACAGGCCAGTCTGGCCTGCATAATAACACTCTGTATCAAACACCAGAAAAAGAAAAGTCATGCTAAGTTGCCCAGGCTGGGTACAAAAAAAAAGGGCTAGTTACCCTCAGTCGTTATGTCAGGCAAGCTATTCTGATTACAGGAGGGTGACTAAACTCTAACCACCATGAAGATGATTGGCTCATGGCCTTGAAATGTCTGTGGAGTAACCAGCTTCCGGTTCAGCTAGCCGCAATTCTTTCTGTGCCCTTTGCCTTTTCTCCCTGGTGCCTTCCTCTTTGGTGAGAGCCCTCCCCCGCCAGCTCGGGTCCAAGCCCTCCGCAGCTCTCATGACTGTGGCTTGGGTAGAACCCTTGACCCACAGCGGGTGGCGACTTAGGCCATCTGGCAGACCCTCCCCTGCGCACACGGCCAGGGGCCGCTTCCTGCCTGGCTTGGGTGGGCTGAGGGGTGCCAGGAGCTTGGCTCGAGTCCTTAGGCCAACACTTCATGGCTTTGAGACCTCAGGCCGGTCACCCAGCCTCTTGGCGCTGGTCTGCCCATGGTGCTCAGCTGGGGAGATAAACGTGCTCACCCTGAGGGCCGCGTCTGCGGGCCGTAAGAGTAAGCGATGCGAGAGATTGCAGCATTACGTGGGTGACTCTACTCAGCTGTTACTTGGTCATCGCTGGTACTCTTATTTTACTTACTTAGTTGCGGTACTGGGGATGGAACCCAGGGCCTTCACACTGCGCTACGTCCTTAGCCCTTTTTGATTTTAAGCCAGGGTCATGCTAAGTTGCCCAGGCTGGGTACAAACCTGTGACTGTCCTGCCTCAGCCTCCCAGAGCCCTAGGGTGTGAGACATGTGGCACCACACTGGTTTCTTACGTCCTAACGAGGGACCCCAGGGTGGGTTTGCCTGGGTCCCTGACCAGCGCTGACTGCAGGGGCAAGTGTAGCAAGTGTAGCACCCCGACTTTCTCGGATTTGGACAGAACAGCCGACCTGGCCCTGCCCTGCTTCTACTTCCTTGGTCAGCCCCTGAGATCTAAGAGGCCATGTGCAAGTCCCCAAGCTGCCCGGTGCCTGGAATGTGAGGGGCTGCCCGGTGCGCCTGTCCTCCCATCCGCGCCCAGGGACCTCCCTGCCTCCCCTCCGCCGCCATCTCATTGTCGATGCTGCGCACGCCTCCCTCGCTGTTGTTTTAATTAAACTCCGAGGAATCAGGCACAATGTGGTGCGCGAGGAACATTTTTGTTTAATTAGGAGCTCTCGGGAACGGCAGGCGGCCGCGGCCTCCCCCCCACAGCTGCTGCCCACACAGCTCGCGGGAGCCTGGGGCTGTGTGCACGCCGGGAGGGCTCGTGCGCGCACACCCGTGGGTGTGTTGCACAGGCGCACGCACCACCCCCTGCGCACACGCGTGTGCACATGCTGGACGCCCACAGATCCCACTGTCACACCAGACCCAGTTGAAGCCCCCTTTTTTGCTTTCACCGAAGATGACGTCATTGGCAGCCAATCGGTGCTGTTTGTGAGGTGGTCTGGCTTCCTGCCTGGAGGACAGTAGGGGCCGGAGCCACCTCAGACGTGATCCAGCTGCCCCCCTCACCTCGAGCAGACCCAGACTCAGACTGAAGCTTCTCCCCTCCCCAGCCTGGTACAGACCCCAGCTCCGGTGCGGGGCTGCCGAGCCCCGGTGTCCCATGGCACTGGTCTCTGAGGCCTTGGCCTCTTGGTCCCCTTGCTGTGTGCCTGGGGCTCAGCTCCCTCCCACGATGGTGGCTTCTCCCCCACCCCTTTCCCCCCCAGGCCCCGTTGTCCCCCGTGTCTCGTCCAGCATTGGCAGGCAAATCTGTGTCTGTCGTGTCCTTTGGACACAAGCAGCAAAACCGTCCATACCTGCAGGCGGCAGACTCTCCATGACACACCAGAGAGTAAATATTTCCAGCCCCCAGGCCAGTCAGCCTCTGTCACAACAGCTCCACTTAGCTGTGACAGGAGGGAGCCTGCCGCAAGTGATGGAAACAAGTGAGCATAGCAGCGTGGCAATAAAACTTCATTAAACAAAACCGGCAGAGAGAGCCAGTAAAACTTTATTAACAAAACAGGCAGAGGGCCAGATGTGGGCCCCTGGGAGGGGTCCATAGTTTCAGAACCTTGGTCTGCGTCGTCTTTCACTTTGAATTTTACTCTTCACCAGTATGGGTCGTGCAAAGCCACTCAGTTGCCCAGGCTGCGCTAAACTTGTGATCCCCCTGCCTCAGCCTCCCATAGTATTTCAGCATCCCATCCCAGCCCCTGTCCTTGGTGATTGTCTCATCTCCCACTTTTGTCTGCCATTTTCAGCACCTTGTTGGTCTCTGTGCCTCCCTCACCTAGTACCCAAGCCCTGATACCTAGGTGCTGAGCCAAGAGCGCAGGTGTTTCAGATCAGTAGCACTAAATAGTCCCCCTGTCCTGAAGGTGACTGAGGACCCTGGGCATAGAGTTCCTCCTGCTATCCCTTCTGGGCTTGCAGGTGGCATCTGCCCTGTGTCCTCCCATGGTCGTCCCTCCGTCTCCTGTGCCCTGGTCTCTTCCTCCTCCTCTGCCTCTGCTTCCTTCTCCTCTGCTTACTTGTCTTCCTCCTCCTCCTCCTCCTCCTTCTCCTTTTTTCAGTATTGAGGATTGAACCCAGAGCCTTTATACTAAGCTATATCCCCCAGCACCTTTTTAAAGTTTTATTTAAGGCAGAGCCTCACAAAGTTGCCATATGGGCCTCAAACTTGTGATCCTCCTGCCTCAGCCTCCCAAGTTACTGGGATGACAAGCACATGTGACTGCCCCACAGTGGATCTCTTTTCAGAAGGACCCAAGACCTACTTACTGGATTAGGGACTACCCCAGCTTTCTCCTTTTGCCTTCGTTCTCTCTTGAAAGATCTTGTCTCCAGACCAGTCACATTCTGTGGTCCTGGGTGTTCAGATTCAGTGTGAATGTTTTGGTCTTGGTTTTGGTTTTCTGAGATGGGGGTCTCGCTATGCAGTTCAGGCAGGCCTTCAACTTGAGGTGATCCTCCTGCTTCAGCCTCCTGAGTGCTGGGATTACAAGCATGTGCCACCATGCCCGGCATACATTTGTATAAGTAGACAGACAGGAACAGGTGACCTGGGAAGAACTTGACAATTTTGAACAAGGAGGTCGTGCTAGGAAAACAAGAAGGGCGTGGGCCGGGGACCAGGGCAGGGGGCGTAGCGGCCCCATGGCTGTGGTCAGCTTACCTGGGCTTGTGGCCTCGGTGCTGGGAGCGCCTGGGGCTGGGTCATCCTGGATGTTGTAGGTGCTGAGCCGCCTGCCTGGATTCACCCTGAGGGCTCTCGACGTCCAGGTCCAAATGCCCGCGCGTGTGCAGGGCTGGGCCCCATGGTGACCGAGCCCCACCCTGTGCCTGCCTTGTCTCCACCTTCAGAGGACCAGCTGCCCCCCGGCTTCCCCAACATCGACATGGGTCCCCAGCTGAAGGTGGTGGAGCGGACGCGCACAGCCACCATGCTCTGTGCGGCCAGTGGCAACCCCGACCCCGAGATCACATGGTTCAAAGACTTCCTCCCTGTGGACCCCAGTGCCAGCAACGGGCGCATCAAGCAGCTGCGATCCGGTGAGCACAGGCAGCCAGCACCACGTGGGAGCCACAGAGGGTGGCGGAGGGAGGGAGGGTGGCCTTTCTACAGCCCAAGCTGGAGGGGATGATAGGGACAGAGGGGCAGAGATGGTATGCAGATGTGGAGGGCATTGGCCGGGGAGAGATGCCCATGAACCCGTGCTGTGGGGACGTAACAGGACCCAGGCAGGCAAGGGGGCACAGGGACCAGTGGAAGATGGAGGCAGGACAAGGGTTCTCGGCACCTGATGAATGGAAACGTCAAGGGGCCAGAGTGGGGAGCTATAGAGAGTTCCGGGGGAGAGTGTCTCCAGTGCTAAAGCTGAAGAACGTAAAGCGGCACAGGCCGGCACAGGTGACGCAGCCACCCAGCCTGTTCGTGCTAGCTGTGGCTGGGCTGGGCTGACCTCTCGATGGCGCAGGAGGCCTGGGGCACTCTGGGGAGAGGCTGCCAAGTGGCGTCTGGGCGAAGCACCCGCATGCCCCATCGGCGAGTCTGTCTGTCCGGGTGCCGTGTGTGTGGGTCGTGCCACTTGTCCTGTGCCTTGTGCCGTGTGTGTGTGTGTAGATGTCCGGACCCCCTGTGTGGGCTGACCTTCTGCGCTGTGTGGACACGTGGGGCCACCTGCCCCACAGAGCAAGGCTTTTCCACCCACATCTCGGCCGTCCGGGCCCCCACACTGCAGACCCTACCACGCACACGCACGTGGGCCGTGAGCTCTGCGCACATCTCCTGCGCGCGCCTCCTTGGTGCGCACGTTGGAGACACGTGGCAGCTGTGTGTCCCTGTGAGATCACCCACGCACATCCGCGCACACGTATGCTAGCGCCATGATTTACCTTCTCCCCAGCCAGGGCCGGTGGCCCTGCGTCCCTCAGGGTCCTGGTGGGCCCCCTGCACCTCCCACGCACAGCTGTGCCGTAGGCTCCCCGTTTCCCTCAGTGCCCCCCGGAGCTGTCTGTCCCCACCCCCGTGCCTCGCCCCGCAGCGGAGCCCGGGGCCCTGAAAAAGGGCCGGCAGTGAGGCCAGAGTCTCCTGGCTGAGACCCGGAGCCGCCGTCTCCCCGAGGCCACTGGCCTTGCGGGCGCAGAGCCCTCGCAGACACCTGGCGGCTCTGTTGGCTGCTGGTTGTGGCCCCAGGGCCGCGCACAGCCCGACCTCCGCGCTCGGACGCGCTCCCTGTCCCGTCCCTGCGGCAGCCGCCCACGCCGAGCCCCCGTTCCCTCGTAACGTGCCAGCTTGCTGGCGAGTTTGGGACGTGCCCGGCCCCCAAGTGCTGCTCTGCAGGATTCTGTGCCCGTGAGCCGCGCCCCCCGCCCCCCACGCGGGCATCTGCGTGGCCTCCATTAACCTTACTGTTCTCTTTTCTTGTCCCTCTGTGTTAACGGTCAGAAACCTTTGGTAAGTCCGACATCTTCTCCATGCCAAGCACTAACGCCCCAGCCCCGCCCCCCATGCCCTCTCCCGTCCCTTTCCCCGGAACTAACAGCCGCCGTGACGGTAACTGACTCCGCGTGGCATGGCTACTAACCCCGGCCCCCCCCCCCGCACCAGTGTGTGCCGAGCAGCGAGCCCAGGAGGAAAAGAGGAAAGGGACCGTCCTACAAGGGCCGTGGGCCTCAGCAGGGGACAGAGGCCCTTTCAGTGTGACTCCGCTGGCAGGACTGCACGGTGTGCAGGGCCCTCCTGCCTCGTTCTGGGATTCAGTACTGCTGGGAAAGGATTTAATTCGCAAGGTTCGGCAGCTGGCTCTGGTGATGTTCCAGCTGGGCCGGCTCTGGGTGTGTCTTGCTCTCTTTTCCCAGCTTCCAGCTTTTCTGCTCTGAGATGGACTGCTGGGCTAGTTCTTACTAAGGAGAGAGTGACTGATATGGCCCAGGAGTTTCCCACTTACCCTAAGAAGCAGATCTGACTTTAATCGCGCAGAGATCTGCTCTTCGTACACCACTGGGTGGCCGTGGACGATGTGCTGTCTTGAGGAGCCAGGTTCTTCACCCGTGGCTTCTCCAGGGTCCTCACAGTCTGGCAAGACGGTGTGGAGCGTGGGCCACCCTAGACTCCTGCGGCCGCAGCATCCATCTCTGCGAGTCCCTGTGTGCTCGTGGAAGGCGGGCGGAGTGGCCACGAAAGGGTTGAGGGTGTCTAGGAGAACGTGGAGCCACAGGAAATTGCGGCTGCAGCTGGTCCCAACCCATTCCTGCCTCTGCCTCCTGCCATGACCTCAGGAACTCTGTGATCCCCGCTCCTCGATTTACCCATCTGCACAGCAGACCTAGCCAGGTCCCCTGAGAGGGTGTCCTGTTTCGGCCTGGGCCCTCCTGGCCCCTGCGAGACCCCTTCCTCCTGGGCTCAGACCCACAGCCAGACCTTTTCCTCTTTTCCTTCGCAGTGAGAACAAGGCTGCGGGATCCCCTAACCTCACCCCCTCGGCCTGTTGGTGACACCTTCCCTCTGCCTCCTCAGTGGCCAGCCCTGGGGCACTAACACCTCCTGTCCCCATCCTTAACAAGACCCTGACCCCTCTGGTGCTTCCTGTCCCTCCCGTCTGGATGTGAAATCAGTGGCCGTCCTGGGCCCTCAGAAGTGCCGGCAACAAGGCGGTCCATGTGTCTCGGTCTGGGGACCCCCACCTCCTCCTGAAAGCCCTCACACCCCACCCCACCCCAGGTTGCCCACAGAGGCCCGGGCCGTGGGCAGGCCAGCTCGTGGCCCCCCTGCCTGCCTCTGACGCTCACTGGCTTTCTCTGCTTCCCTTACAGAAAGTACTCCAATCCGAGGTAAGAGGCTCCCCGCCCCGCTCTCGCTGTCCCCCAGTTCCACAGGGGCCGCCCCCACTCTCCACCCTGCCTGGCGTGGCATCCGTGGGTCTCTGTGTCTCCGTCTCTGTCTGTGGCACCGAGTGTGGCAGTGGGTGACTTCTGGGGCCCCCCTGCTGGGGAGCTGCACAGAGGATCTCCTGGAGCTTTATGGTCTGGGGGTGTCCAGCCCAAGGGCACAGAGACCTGTGTCGTAGGAGGGCAGATTCGAATCTGCCCCAACTCCAGGCACCCTAGCATGGGGACCAGAGTGGGCCTAGATGGGGGCTCTAGGGGACAGTCGGTGTGCGGGCCCAGCTTTGCTGCAAAGTGCTGTGTGATGCAGGGGCAGCTCCTCGTCCTCTCGGAGCTGTGTGGTGATCGCTCCACACCTGTGTCCCCAGAGCCTTGGGGCAGGCAGGACACACTGTAGGCGCAGCCTCTCCTCCCAGGGTCCAGTCACTCCTGTGGGAGAACCGGAAACAGCAGTGAGCTGGGACTGGGTGTCCGGGTCCTCGTAGCAGGGGCTTGGTGTTCACGCGTCTTCCTCTGTCACGTCGGTAGGCGCTTGGGCCCAGGCCTGCGATTCAGATGTTCTTACCCACGTTCCCTCAGCTTTATTGTCTTATAAAAACCCTGGACTTCAAGCGAGGCGAGCCAGTGCGTGCCTGTCATCCCAGCACTTGGGAGGCTGAGGTGGGAGCACCTATCTCTACAAAGTTAGAAGTCATCCCAGGCTACATAATGAGACTGTCTCCAAAAAAAGAAAACAAGACTTTAACCCACTTCTGTGATTCAAACAGAAATCAGCCCTATTTTCTTTTTTTTTTTTTGTTTTTTGTTTGTTTGTTTTTCTGGTACCAGGTTTTTTGTTTGTTTGTTTTTGTTTTGTTTGTTTGGTTTTTTTTGGAAACTTCTAGTTTATAATTTTTGTTTGTTTTTTGTTTTTTTTTTCTGGTACCAGAAATTGAACTCACGACCTCGTGCTTGCCAGGCAGGCGCTGTGCCGCTGAGCTAAATCCCCAGCCCCAATCAGCCCTATTTTCATTAACTCAGGTACAAAGACCTGAGGTTGGGCTTGTGATTTTAAATATGGTTGAGAAATTGTCTTTTGCTTTGCTTTTTTTTTTTTTTTTGAGACAGTGTCTCACTGTGTAGGCTGACCTGCCATTTGCAGTCTCCTGCCTCAGCCTCCCAAGTGCTCAGATTATAACTGCCAACATGCCCGTCTTTTTTATACCTTTATTTACAGCCAACAAAGTCTTTGACCCAAGCTTTTTTTTTTTTGAGACATGGTCCAAGCTGGCCTTAAACTTGCCATTATCCTCCTGTCTCAGCCTCCTGAGGGCTGGGATTACAGATATGCGCCACCATGTCCGGCCTGACCCAGGCTTTTGATTTCAAACCCTTGGACCTTCTCAGCTGTGACTCTTACAGAGCAGAGGAGCCCTTCAGTCCGGTGTGAACCCTTGCTAAAGTTCACTGAGTCCTCCCCACCTGTGGGCGGCATGGGCTTGACTCTGGTGCTGTGATCTGTACGTCTCACATGGTGGCCCGTAAGGTCCCTGGGTCTCCTGAGTGACTCTTGTGGGTGGCGAGCGTCAGCCCACCTCTGCGCTGTGTGGACAGCGTCGCTCCGCATCAGGTCACTCCCCACGGCACGCGCACCCCGTGGCCCGACGCCCGCCCGCTTTGCAGTCCAGACTCCCAGTGAGCTCCTTTTACTGGGGAGCCTGGTATGTCCGGGCCAGCGTGGGGGTTACGTGAGCCAGGGAGACCCCATCCTGACTGGGACCACCGGGGAACCTGGACATTTTCTCTGGTTCTTGGCCAGATGTGCTCGACTCTGGGGCGCCGCCTTCTCGGCCGCCCTGCACCCCTCTCAATGGCCAAGTTCTCCCCCTCTCCCTCCAGGGGCCCTGCAGATCGAGAGCAGCGAGGAGACGGATCAGGGCAAGTACGAGTGCGTGGCCACCAACAGTGCCGGCGTCCGCTACTCCTCACCCGCCAACCTCTACGTGCGAGGTAGGGACCGCTGCAGCCAGGTCCAAGGCAGGGACCGCCCGTCCCTCCCCTCCCCCCTCGGGCTCACAGCCTCCGGGCTCCCCCGTGCCCCGCAGACCCGAGCAGGAAGGCCCCTCCCCGGCTGCGGTGGGATCCCTGAAGGTCAACCTTCTTTCCTCTCCGGACCGCAGTTTCCTTGCCTGGAGCAAGGGGCGAGCTTAAGTCCTCCAGCCCCTGTGCCGGGGGACAGGTGCCACGGGAGCAGTGGGGATGGCGAGATGGCAGAAGCGGGGTAGGGTGCGGGGGGTCAGTCTTGGGCCTACAGGGCTGGGGGAGCCTGCAGGCCTCTGCCCCGCCCCGCCCCGCCCGTCGGCTTTCGTGCTGTGCCGTGCGTTCCTGTGTCGTGTGCTGGCTTTGCTTCTTGGAGCTCTGTGGCCTCGGAGCTCCTGCTTCACTACCCCACCCAGCGCCCTCAGTCTTAGGGGAGGGGTCTTCGAGGCTTCCCCTGCCCCTCCTGCTGGCCCCAGGCCCAGGGTGCTTCCAGGAGGGGACACGGGACTCCAGGGCCAGGGCCACGGCAGACACACGCACCGGGGCCCCTTTGAGCCGGGCGGCCCTGTGCCCAGCCGTGCTTCTGGGCCTTTTCTTCCGATTCCTCCTCAGTTGTGGCTGGAAGCCTGGATCCGCGCCCCACCAGCCCCCTGCACCTCCACTGCAGAGGGGCTTCCTGCAGGGTCCCCTGGGCCTCCCCAGGGAGCCTGGGGGCCGCCTCCACCCCTGGCCTCCCCCACGCCCTGTTAATCTCCGTCAGCTCTCCCGGGTCCTGCTAGAAGATTTGATCGCCCTCCTCCTCCTCTACTTGTCCTGCCTCCTGACTGCTGCTTCTGATGAGATTCATGGCAGAAACAGCCGTCAGGATGCCGGGCCCTGGTAGGCCCCGTGTAGGCGACCACATCCTTTTCCAGGCCTCACTTTCCTGCCTGCAATGCACCAGGCCCTGGTCATTCTCTGCCCGCGCGGCTCCTCTTCCGCAGCCCTCAGCCCCCGCTGGCCCTGGAGAGGCCCCTTGGGTCCTGAACTGTGGATTTTGCATCTTGGCTTGAGGAGGAGGAGGCTGGGGGGAGGGGGGGAAGGGGGCAGGGTGCGTGGGTGTGCGGGTGGGGGCGGGGCACATCCGGTCGACCGTGGCGGCCTCCGGTGAGTTGCAACGCGTCCGCGTCCATGACACCGATTGACTGGTCTTCATCTAACCTCGTTTCTCTGCTGACTCCTGGGATGGGGGTTGTGAGTTGTTCAGGGCTTGAGAGACAGGAGAGGGATGGAGGTGTGGGGCAGGGAGGGGGCGGGCACTTAGCCTGAGCTCAGAAAGGGAGGGGTCCTTCCATGTCCCCAGTCTGGAGGCAGAGTCCCCTGCCCGGGCCGCCTCCTTTCTGGGCACGGGTCCAGCACCCCGTCTTTGCCTGGGTCTGAGATGCTGCAAAATGCAATTCAGAGTTGAATTTTAGAGTTGAGAAAACGCAAATGTAGATCTTGTACGTCGAGGGCAAAGAGCAGAGGAAAGAGAAAAAAGAAAAAAAGGTCATTACTGTTCTTTTTCTTTTTTAATTTTATTTTTTTTTTGGTTTAAAGAGAACTATTGCAGCTTTTCGCCTTGGGAAGTCCTCTTTTTACTCTCTGTATTTCCCCTATTTTTTCTCTTCTCCCCATGTCATTGTGTTGCGCATCAAACCCCCTTTACATCCCTCAGAGCTTCGAGAAGGTTGGTGTGTTTTTTTCTTTTTTACTTTCTTTACCCACATTTTTACATTCTGCAACAATGACACACACACACACGAAAGACACACAGACACTGCACAAACATGCAGACATGCACATGGAAAAAATAGAAAAATGAACTTAAAAAATGGAATATGAATGATAAGTGCAAAGCAAACTAAATAAATAAATAAATAAATGAACAAAAACTGCCAAGCGAGAGCAAAACCCAGAAAGACACGAAAATCTCAGCCGCGCCCAGCCCGGCCCAGGGCCGGCCGCACACATGCGATGCTTGCATTATGGTTGCTCTGCATCTGTTGGTAATGTTGTTGCTAAGTTTTTTGCACTCGTCGCCATGGTAACTTGGGCCTGATGCATGCTGGGAGAATGTACAAATTTCTCTGCATGCCACTCTTTGTCAGTTTGGTTTGGTGAATTCCCAACGTCTTCTGTTGGAGTGTTTCTTGTCTCCCGTTCTGTTTTTCTCTTTTGGTTTGTTTCGTTTTGTTTCTTCCCTTTTTTCCTTTCCTTTTTTTTTTAAAGTTTTGTTTCGTTTAGGGGGTCGATTGGTTTGGTTTTTCCCCCTTCCCGCCCTCTTCACCTGGTGCCCCTCCCTGTTCTCCCCCAGAGCGATTTGTCTTTGGTTCTGTCTTGTTTCTGTGCTGTTTTGGTTTTAGTTTCTTGGGCTGAGCTGTTCTGTGGTTGTTCTCCAAACGCATTGTGATTTAAAAGCCAGTGTTCCTGTCCCAACTCTCATCCGGGAGGGTGGAAAGGGTTCCCACAGCTTGGATGCTGGGCCAGAAAGTGACCTCATGAGGGCCGTCAAGACCTGAGGGACGAGGGACAGATGGGTGGCGGGAGGTCAGAGCCTGGGTGGGGGGAAAGCACCCCAGTTTGCCAGACCTCCCAGTAGCCCCTCTTTTCCTTTCTCCTCTCCTGTGCAGCAGTGTGGGGAGGGAGCGTGAGCAGGCATCCTCCCGTCCTCCTGCCCCAGGGTGAGGCCTCACCACCCTCCGTGGTTTGTCAAGTGAAGCCAGGGGCCCACCAGCAGCCTGGTTCCCTTTCAGTCTGCGATGTGTCCAGTAAGAACAGTGGCAAATGGAGAAGTCGGGAGAGAACAGTAACAACTCCACCCTCCCGGGACACCGCGTGCTTGGCACATTGTGCCCCAAATGCCAGCTGGTGTGATGGCTTCATGCGTCCCAGCTGGGCACAGGTCCAGAGCTGCCCATCCGAGTACAGCATGGCAGACTTCAGTAGAAATACTTGGCCGGCCGTGCAGCCCGGAGCACTACGCCTCCGCCTCCTGGACGGTGTTGGCTGCTTCTCCTTTCCCCTTTCTCAGGCTCTGGGCCCAGGCACAGGTGTCGTCTGTCCAGTGACACAGCATGGTCACTTTCTGAGTTCCCCGAGCATCAGAGCTGTGGAGTTCTGGAGGAAACCAGGGGAATTTTGGACACAGCCTCTCCCCGACTCTCCTGTCTCCCCACTTCCCTCTATTTTCTTTTTCTGTCTCTCTCTCTCTCGCTCTGTCTCTCTCTCTCTCTCTAGTAAACCCTTAGAGATCCATGTCCCTAACTTCTGCTCCTTCCCCAAGAAAAAGCAAGCACTCTTGAGTCTCTCCTGTCAGCTCCAGATAAAAAGCAGCCCCTAACAAAATACCCACGGAGGGTTCGTTCTGTCCACCAGCTCTTACCCACTTGCTACCCAGCGGTCGAGGGCGGAGGCCGGTTTCCCTCCTCTCTTGTCCTTCTCCCGCCTCTGTCTGACCTCCAAGTTATTAAATCCAGAGCCACAATCGTCAAGAAGACCTTAGACACGCTAAGACAGGACTGACTTCTCCTTTCTAAAGGAGCATGAGAGCTGCCAGCTGACCCCAAGGGAAGCCCCAAAAGGTGGGGCAAAGAGCTCTCCCAGGCCTCCACCAAAGCTGGGTCCTGCCTAGTCCTGTGGGCTGAGTCTGGGCTGTGGGTCTGTCCCTCTCTGCTTCCGTGGGACCATTTGAGATGGTTTGGAGCCCCTCTTTCCTCACCTGAACAACGGGACCCCAAGCCTGCCTTGCTCAGTTACCGGCCACACCCCATTGCGTGCAGGCACATCAGGGGCGCTTCCACGGCCCTCCGTCCGAACTGGCCCAGCCCCCTTCCCTCATTCTGTGCCTCCTGTGTCTACTCTAAATAAGATGCAAATGGGAAACTGCTTTAGAAACACAGGGCAGAAGCTACTTCATGTGCTCAAGGCGGGATTTTGTTTTTACTAGTGCTTTTCTGAGCTCCTGGAATCTCGTCGTCGCCTGGCTCCAACCCTAACCCCAGAAATCAGTAGCTCCTGCAGAGCCACCCTGACCATTCCCCTGGCTAGTTCAGCAGCCGCAGAAATAGGGGTGACGAACGTAGCTTAAAAACTAGGCAAGCTGCACACGGTGCCACAGGCCTGTCATCCCAGCACTCTGGGAGGCTGAGGCAGGCAGAAGGATCGCAAGTAGCATTGGCAACTTAGCCACAGCCTGTCCTCTCCCCCCCAAAAAATGGTTTAAATCATTTTAAAGGGCTGGGGATATACCTCAGTGAGAAGTATCTGGGTCCAAGTCCCAGTACAAAGCAAAGCAGAACAAAAAGCCAGGCTACCCTAGTTACTAGCCTGTCAGAAGCCTTTCCGGGGGCTGGTTCATGGCAGGGTCCCCAGCCACAGCGCCACTCTGGTGACTGCTGGGCTGCAGCCTGCAGGCAGGCTGAGGTTCCAGGGCAGAGTATTCCCTTCTGCCCTCGTCCTGGAGGTGAGCAGGTGCCAAGGACCAAGTCCAAGCCCTGGGGCCCTGTTTACCTGCCGGAGTCTGTCTCCTGCACTTGCAGACCTGCCTTGGTGGGGACCAGTGCACATTCTCTGTGACCCTTAATTCTGTTTCGTGTCTCTGGAAAGCTGTGAACCTTTACAGTGTGGGCAGATGAAGGGCCGGTGAGGCTGCCTTTCCTAGGGACCTGTGTCCACGGCCCCCACCCAAGCCCTAGACTTGGTGGACCTGTCCTCAAGCATTTCCCGTGACTTCTGTGTCCCCCAAGTGGGGCAGGCACGGGTCCCCACGTGACTTCCCGAGGGGCCGCTGGCCAGCTCTCCGGTCCCTGCTGCGGCCCCGAGTGCGGGCGGTGTTAGATGGGGCCCGCCCTTCCAATCCGGCAGCCGCGGGGGGCGAGGGGCCCGTGCAGGAACACTGAGCTGGGACCGCTGTCGCCTGCTGCCTGCCTCCCTCCCTGTGCACTGCTCGTCCTCGGGTGGGGGCGGGGCGCGGGGGCTCTTAGATTACACCTCGTCACCTGCAGAGCCGGGAGGGCGGCCTTCGATTGGACAGAGCCAAAGGGGAAAGAGGGTAACCTCACCCGCAAAATGCCCCCAAACATTTTCTGAAAACATCTGTAGTGCAGCCAACTGCCAAGGCGCTGGTCGGGCTCCAGGTTCCTCCAGCCTCACACGGTGGCTTCGTGGGGAGATGGGGGTGGGGCGCTGAAGACCAGAGACAACGGGAGAGGGCGCAGCACAGCTGGGATGGCGCCCACCTCCCCGGGCCCCAGGCTGGGGTTCAAAGGCGGGGACCAGAAATGGGCTTGAAATTGGGCTCTGACCGCCCCGCTTCCCCGACAGGTGTAATCTAAGCATCACTAACCCTCCCAGAGGCTGCACCCCTTCCCGGCATCTGTCCCTGCCCTCGCCGCTGGCACAAGTGTCCATTTTGGAGTTCGGAGAAGCATCTCGAGGTCTCTCTCACCCCAAAATGGCCCGCAGAGCTCCCCGCACCCCTGGGGCTGCGGCTTGCTGATCTCTTGAGCTGTCTGACACTGCCGGGTCCCCACCGAATGCTTCAACCAGACCACCTCACTTTTGAGTTTCCTTCCCACCCCACCGCTGCCCGCCTCCCCTTCACTTTGCCCCCCAAACCCGTTTTGATTTTTTTGAGTTTCTGCCTCCTCCTGCCTGGGGAGGGGGGCGTCTCCTGGTTGCTTTGACGGTTTTTGAGTTGTTTTTCCATGCGGATTGGGTTTGAAGCGCCCACCCCTCCACCCGCCACCGCCCCCACTCCCACAGCCCCACCCCCTCGCCCACGCGGGTCCCCCCGCTGGGACCCTCCCCGGCCACTCGGTGACGAGAAGAGCTGGGGACCAGAGCCAGCTGGAGCGTGCTGACCACAAGGCTGGTGTCGTCCCTTATAACCCGCCTGGACCCTCTATTCAGGTCGGTAATCGGGGGCGGGGGTTCCGCGGGGCCTGTCCGTCCCGTGGGCCCCGTGCTCACCTTACTTTCTAACCTGCACCTCAAGCTTGCAGCCAGGGGTGGAAAGACGATGCGGGCGGGAGCCAGCACCAAACCGGGCAGAACACAGTGTCAGCCGTCCACGCTCCCCAGCTGGGAGGACGCCCAGGGCTTGAGCTCCATGGTCCTGAGGAGCACAGACGCCTGAAGTTCGTGGCAAACCAGCCCTCTTCCTGCCCTACATCCTTAGAAGCAAGGGCACTGGGTGACAAAGCAAGAGAGTGGTTTGTCGGGAGTCAGAAAAGCCTTGCCAGCCATTTAACTGATGGCTGCTGGCCACATTTGGAATTGCTGGCAAATGTCCCCTCATGGTTAACTGATAGACAGCTGGCCACCCTGGGTGGCGGGTCTGTCTCACGTTAAGGTGCATATGCCTGTGTCTGCTTCTGAAAGTTAGAGGTATCTTTTGAGTTATAATGCTCAGCCAATACTTGGAAGGGCAGACATGAGCAGGGTGTTCTAGACAGGATGTTGGGTCTATAGAAGAGAAAAATTAGACTGTTGAACTTTTAGATCCTAACACTGTGTTATACTCCCATTGATCGTTCAGTAATCCCTTAAGGAATGAGCCTTTTACTGATGGCTTCTGGACATCTACTATGAGGCCTGCTGGATGGTATCCATCTGGCGGCCATTATTCATTTGATGGAGTTGTACATGGGTGACAAGTACTTTTGCCCTCTTTGATATCCCTAGGGGGTAAGGCTGTACAGGTTTGGAAATAGCCAAGATACCAAGGAGGGACAGCTGGCTGTAATTCTTGCTATTTACCATGGTGAGAGAAGGCTAATTTTGTGTGAAGGGCAGGGACCAGGCAGGCCTGGCTTTGAGCCCTGGCCACACCACTTCCTTGGTAGTCCTGTCAGCTCTGTGACCATCTTCTTTCCTCATCTGCAAACGGGGCATGAGGACATTTGCCTCGTCCTTGTAGGCAGGGGTAAAGACAGGGACTGGACAGGAATTTCCTGCTGTTGGCTTTTAAAAAGCCCCTCCGTCCCCAGCCTCCCTTGAAGTAGAGAATCTGTTTGCTCTGCCCCTGCCCAGGAGGCGGGAAGGTTGCTCCCAGCACCTCGGGGCCTGGGCTGACCCTGGCCGGCTGCTGCACCGGCTCCTTCCCTGGCCCCCGGCCCCCGTGCGAGCGTCCTGCCGGGTCCCCGCCTGGCTCTTTTGCAGATGAGGAAACCAAGGCTGGGGTGGGGCTGCCCAGGGCTCCTCAGTCACCCAGAGAGGAGGCTGCAGCCCGCTGTGCTGTGTGATTCGAGGCCTGAGGTCCAGCTCGGGACCGGGTTCCCCTCAAGGCCCCCACGCCCCGTGGCCGCCTGGGACCTTGGGCCGCCGCGCTGTGGGCCGGGTGGGAGGCCAGACCCTGTGTTCTGCCGGGGGGGCGGGCGTCTCCCCGGGAAGCCCCGACCCCTCCTTTCAGACCCCGATTTCCAGCCCCACACCCATTCCATGGTTACTTTTTTTTCTTTTTCTTACTTTTGGGTGTTGTTTCATTTCAAGGGGGTGTTTATGTTTGATTTTTTAATTCTTTTTTTCTTTTTTTTTTTTCTGTTTTGGCTTTTGCTTTGTTTTCCTTTTGCATTCGTTTCTTCCCCCTCCCTCTCCCCGTTTTGTTTTGGATGTTGATGCCGTTTCTGTCCTGGATTAATTAGCCCCCCCCCCCACTCATCCCCCATCGTGTTCCGTCTCCATGACAACGCGGCCTGCGTCCCGGACATCTCCTGCTCCGGCCTGGCTGTGGACCCTGCAGCTGGCTGGGACCTCGGCTGCTGCCTGGCTGGCCGGACCCTTTCCAACCCCTCCCTCCACCCCACCCTGCCCAGTGCACCCCATCTCAGCCCCCCGCTGCCTTCTCTTCCTCTTCGTCCATACTTCTGTCCATCCGTCTGTCCATCCGTCCGTCCATCCATCTGCATGGGCCCTCTGTCTCCCCCCACCCCTCCATCCTGTCTCCACTGCGACTCTGGACATTTCATGGGCTTCGTTTTCCGGAGGGCTGCCAGCTTCCCAGCTTCCACACCTCGCTCCCACTCCAGCCCAGAGCCCCTCTCTGCCTCCCGCCTGACTGCAGGACAGAGGCCGGGTGTTCCAGCCAGAGGCCAAAGCCAGTCAGTAAAGGTTAGGGCTGCCGTTCCTCCTTCCCGAGAGTCCCCTCCTGAGTGGAGCAGATTAGACCTCCTACCGCCACACCCCAGACACCTGGCCTCAGCAGCCCCGATGAGCACTTTAGCTCGGCTGAGCTTCCACCCGGAGCTGGGCTGGCCTGGTGGCGTTTTAGGCCCCACATGGCGAGATGTCCAACCAGGCTGCCCGAGTCTCCCATGGTGGGCCTGGCGATCCCTGCCTCTGTCCCACCCCAATCCCGGAGCTCACCCGCCTTCGGAAAACGGAGCCCGAAATGCATCCCGCCGCCTTCGTCACCGCCAGCACCACCACGAGGTCCAGACAGAAGGCGGCCCTGCTCCCCGCTGAGCAGCGCACAGCGCCTGTCCGTCCCCTGAGTGCCCAGCTCACCCCTCGTCGCTGTTGACATCGTTATGATTAACATCCTCTTTACAACTCCGCCAGGGCCGTGATGTGACAATGTGAGGTCCCGCATTGGGTCGCATCTGCTAGAGTCCATCCGCAGCACCGAAGTGGGCCCTGCCCGTCCCCGCCTCTCCGCCCCGCGCCCGGTTCTCTGTCTCCACGCATCTCCGCCCTCCGCTCCTCACAGTCTCCGATCCAGGCCCCTCTGCATCCCTCTCTGTGTCCTTTCTCTCTCTCCCTGTCTTTCCTCTCTTCTCTCTCTTTCTCTCTCAACCTATTTTGCATGATGTTTGTGGATTTTGAGAGCTGCATTTATCGATCAAAACTTGTCAGATCTGACAGAAGCTTTTAGAAGGGTTTCTATACCCAAAGCCACAAAAATTTCATTAGAGTTTTCTCATCTTTTCCTTGGGAGGGCGGGGGGGAAGCAGGGAGACCCCTGAGAGTCACCTGAGCGGGCCGCGTGCGCCTCCGCACTCGGCCCGCGGTGCTCAGTCCGTCCGCTCCGCAGCTGGTCGGAGCCTCTTGGGAGTGCCCTGCACAGCCGTGAGTGTCCCCAGGTGTCCCCAGCCCCACCCCTTGCAGCCAGCACCGCCCAGCGCGCTCAGAGCGGCCACGGCCACCGGGAGTGTTGGGCGGCAGCCCGGCGCCCGCCGCCACGTCTGACAGCAAAGATGAGAAACCGCTGATAAATTTTTGTGTCCACGTCTGTGCTGTGACCAGGGTCCCTCTGGTCTCTGAAACCCAGTGGCTATGAGATGATGCTTTATGTCTTTTTTCTATATCGGTATCTCTCTCTCTTGTTTGTGAAGTACCTTCCTTTGAAGTTTTGCTTTCTTTGTGTTGGAATTTGTTTTTTTCATTTGGATTTGTTTGTTTCTTTTCATTTGGGGGAAAAATGAATGGGGGGGAGCAGCAGCCCCGTTTATATTTAAATGGTTCTCTGCTTTGTTTTTCTCCTCTGTGTCCTTCTCTCCTCTGTCTCCTGCTCCCGCTTCTTCTCCTGCCCCGCCCCGCCGGCCCTGCCGCCCCCCCAGTCCGCCGCGTGGCCCCCCGCTTCTCCATCCTCCCCATGAGCCACGAGATCATGCCGGGGGGCAACGTGAACATCACCTGCGTGGCGGTGGGCTCGCCCATGCCCTATGTCAAGTGGATGCAGGGCGCCGAGGACCTGACGCCTGAGGACGACATGCCCGTGGGCCGCAACGTGCTGGAGCTCACGGACGTCAAGGACTCGGCCAACTACACCTGCGTGGCCATGTCCAGCCTGGGCGTCATTGAGGCCGTGGCCCAGATCACCGTGAAGTGTGAGTGGGGCCAGGGCCAGGCGGTCACTGTCCCCGTGAGACTGCGAGGGCAGGGCACGGTGGTGCACACCTATCATCCCGGCACTCTGGAGGCTGAGGCAGGAGGATCACAAGTTTGAGCCCAGCCTGGGCAACTTAGTGAGGCCCATTCCAAAGTAAAATTTTGGAAAAGGGGGGATGCTGGGGATGTAGCTCAGTGTAGAGACCCTGGGTCCAGTCCCCTGTGCTGTAAAAATAAAACCCGAAGCCCCACCCTGCTGACCTGGGCTATGGTAGCCCCACTCGGGCTATAAATGAGACGATTTGGGGTCATTCGGCCCACAGGTTCTCCGTGGAAATCAAAGCTCAGAGGGGTTGTGGGGTTCAGCCTCACACAACCCACAGCGTGTAACCCTGCCTCCTACCCACAGCTCTCCCCAAAGCCCCTGGGACGCCCGTGGTGACCGAGAACACAGCCACCAGCATCACCATCACGTGGGACTCTGGCAACCCGGACCCTGTGTCCTACTACGTCATCGAGTACAAGTCCAAGAGCCAGGACGGGCCGTACCAGATCAAGGAGGACATCACCACCACGCGCTACAGCATCGGCGGGCTCAGCCCCAACTCCGAGTACGAGATCTGGGTGTCAGCCGTGAACTCCATCGGCCAGGGCCCCCCCAGCGAGTCGGTGGTGACACGCACTGGCGAGCAGGCGCCGGCCAGCGCCCCGCGGAACGTGCAGGCCCGCATGCTCAGCGCCTCCACCATGATCGTGCAGTGGGAGGAGCCCGTGGAGCCCAATGGGCTGATCCGTGGCTACCGCGTCTACTACACCATGGAGCCCGAGCACCCCGTGGGCAACTGGCAAAAGCACAATGTGGACGACAGCCTGTTGACCACCGTGGGCAGCCTGCTGGAGGACGAGACCTACACCGTGCGGGTGCTGGCCTTCACATCTGTGGGCGACGGGCCACTCTCGGACCCCATCCAGGTCAAGACCCAGCAGGGAGGTGAGGCCACTGCACCGGGGGCGGGGAGCAGATGCATGGTGCTTGCACATACTATCCTGGGATGCTCGCACGCTGGGAGGCTGAAGCAAGAGGGTCTCCAGTTCTAGCCCAGCCTGAGCAACCTAGTGACTTAGCAAGACCCTATCCCAGAATAAAAAAGATAAGGGCTGTGGATAGAGCTTGGTGTGAAGGCCCTGGGTTTAACCCTCCGTGCTGCAAAAATAATTGAGGCGAGTGTTACAGAGAGTTGTTCCAAGCAAGTCCACTTGGCTGGCTTCTCTTCAGATCTGGTTTGGTGAGGCCACGAGGCTGCTGCTGAGAGACCCCTGTGGCTGCGTGAGACGAGGGGTGCCAGGTCTGCGTGCCTCCCTTTGTCCCTTAACCTCCAGGCCCCAGTTGGTGTTGGGGTCTGTGAGTCCCCCTCTGCTGCGGTTGTTAAAGGAACCAGGGCCACTTTGTTTGAAATAATCCTGCCTCAGCCTGCTGGGTTGAAGGACGCGGGAGGGCGGGCTATTTGGGGTTCCTGTCCTTTCCTTTGGGGTTCTGATTTTTAAACCCTAAAATCTAGGACCACAGGCACCTGAGTGGTGGGTCTGGATGTCTGGACCTTTGTGAGGTGGATACAGAATGGGGACCTAGATTTTAAAACAGGCCTCTTCCCTATTTTTTTGTTTTGTTTTGTTTCTGAGACAGGGTCTCACTATACAGTTCAGGCTGGCCTTGAGCTCACTTTGTAGGCCAGGCTGGTCTCGAACTCACAACGATCCTCCTGCCTCAGCCTCCCAAGTGCTGGGATTACGGGGGTGCGCCACCACGCCCAGGGGTGCGCCACCACGCCCGGCTTTCCCTGTTTGTCATTTAATTTGCGGGGGGCGGGCCCTCACTTCAGTGGCTACAAAGGGGAGCTTTTACACGTTGTCCTATTGGAAGGAGAAGGGGACGGGGAGTGGAGGTGGATGGGTGATGACCAGGCAAACGGGGGTCCCTCCACCCCCGTCCCACCGCACAGTGCCCGGCCAGCCCATGAACCTGCGGGCCGAGGCCAAGTCAGAGACCAGCATCGGGCTGTCCTGGAGCCCGCCGCGGCAGGAGAGCATCATCAAGTACGAGCTGCTCTTCCGCGAGGGCGACCGAGGCCGAGAGGTACGGGGCGGCGGGAGGCCCGGGAGGCCTGGGCCTGGCACCTCTCTGCCCACTGGCTGCTGGCCCCGCTGCGCCCCTCTGACCGCATCTCCGTGTCTCTGTCTCTGCGTTTTCTCCCCCACCTTCCTGTCTCTGGCTTTCCGCTTTGTGTCTCTTCCGCGTTGCTGGCTTTCTGTCTCTGTGTCGTGGTCTCTGTCTCACGCTGCTCACCTCGCTCTCATCCGTTCGTCTCTGTGGCTGTCTCTGGTCCGCTCTGCCCCTGCGTCTGCATCCGTCCCCGTCCCCGCCGCAGGTGGGCAGGACGTTCGACCCGACGACGGCCTTCGTGGTGGACGACCTCAAGCCCAACACGGAGTACGCTTTCCGCCTGGCGGCGCGCTCCCCGCAGGGCCTGGGCGCCTTCACCGCGCCCGTGCGGCAGCGCACGCTGCAGTCCAGTAGGTGTCTCGCGCCTGCGCTGGGGGGCGGGGGGCACCAGGCCACTCCGCCCGGCCTTGGCCTTGGCCGTGCCTCAGTCTCCCCGCCAGGGGTCCTCTGTGTCCTGGGCCCGGCAGCCCCAGTGCAGGGCCAGGGAAGAGGAGAAGCTGCCGGGTCCGTGCGTGGCTCGAGGCTTTGCTGAGTGCAGCCGCGTCCCCACGCCCTGGCCTGGCTTCAGCGGCTGTCACACAGCCATCCTGTGCCCGCTGCACGGGCGCCCCCGGGGCGCTGAGGCAGGGGTCACTGCCGGCACCCACAGAGGACACTCTCTGGGCCCCCTCTTGGCCCAGAGCCATGGCACCTGAGGCCCTCGGACAAGGTCCCCAGTGCCCCGGGACGGGGTTGGGCGGGACCAGAGCTGATGCCACATGGGGAGGTGCCGGCCCCGAGGTGGGGCACTCGAGTCCCTGGAGATCTTGCTGTGCCCACCTGGCCTCCCTGTCACAAACCAGCCGCCTGTCACTTAGCAGCTGGCTCTGGGCCGCTCTGTGCCCTCGCTGCCTGCTCGGAGCTCGGGCCACGGCGGCCCCTCTGCTGTCCCCGATCCCCTTTCCGTCACCCACCCTGCGTGGCCCTCCACGTGGCCCCCTGCCCCTCCCCCTCCCCCTCGGTCAGTCACTGCGTGGCCACCCCAGGCACCATTCTGGAAGAACCTGCCACGCTCAGGCCTCCAGGCCCAGGTGTCTGCGCAGCGAGTGGTCTCCGGCGTGGAGGGTGCCACCCCGGGCCAGGGCCAGCCTGAGCCCCGAGCCCAGAGGCCCCGGAGACGCGGCCCTGCCAGCCCCGGCCCCTTCCCTACTCTCCGAGCCGAGCCGGCGTCACAGTCCAGGGGCGTCCGGGTGTCCCTGTTAGGCGGCGGGCAGTGAGGGTGGCCTGGGCCTGGGCGGCCGCCCGAGGGGAGACAGAGGCACTGGTGTTGCGAAGGTGAGTACTAGCCGGTCTCAGGCGACTTCACAAACACGGCCCACCCTGCGTCCCCACCCACCTGCCCCGCCGCCCTGGCCACGCACACGGCCCACAGGTGGACGCCACGTGGTCACGTGTCCATCCCTGCCTTTCCCGAGACATCACTCAGGTTGGGCCGGATTGTGAAGCTCGCCACCCCCAGGTCATCCAGAAAACGGCCCCGCCACACGCACCTCGGGGCGGCCCAGGACAGGGACGGGAGAAGGGACGCCCGCTCCTCCTGAGCAGGGTGGGCCCAGAGTCCCGCAGCAGAGACGCAGGGCCAGGCGTGTCTCCCCGGGCTGCGGTCCCTTAGTCTGACTCAGGGTAGGTGGAGGCAGACAGCTCGCGGGGGGCTCCCTCACTGTCGGGGGCCGGAGACCCCAGGGCTCGCTCTCGCCCGTAGCTCAGTCCACTGTCGCCGCCCCCTCGTAAGAAAGTCTGTAAGTTAGCAGTGGAGAGAGAAGGTAGGTAACACTGGGAGATCTCTGGATGGCGTCTTTCTTTCTTTTATTATGATTTTTCCCATCATCATCGCCACCGCCTGTCGCCATCACTGTCTCTGATTTTATTATGGTTTTAGTTCTGTTTTTTTCCCTCCCCCTTTCTGAGCGAGTCCATTCCTCCTGGCACATTCCCCAGTTGATTTTTTCCACTCCTGCCTGATTCCCCCTGGGCACTTCCGGTTGGGGTGGCTGGTCAAGAAGGGGGGGCCCCAGCCTAGTGCTCAGTGACTGAGGAGGGGTCCCCCGCCTGAGGCTGGGAGCTTACTGTAGTTGAAGCGAGCCACCGTGGCGGTCGGCATATCCTGGGGTCTCTGAGGACAGGCTGTCGTGTGCCTCTAGTCCCGGAGCCCAGCACAGTTACTGCTCGGTGAACGTGAGCTCCAGGTAGAACTACCCCGCAGTGAGCTGAGAGAATCCCGAGTGCCCCAGTGGCGCCCCTCGTGGCCTCCCGGACTGCATCTGACCATGTGGCCCCAGCTGCGCAGTTGAGATCTGGACCCCAAGCCCCAAGCCAACACGGCCAATGGCCCCTCTCAGCCTGGCTCCACACTCCGTACCCTGCTTCTGCCGCCACGGGCCCTTGGGCAGGCACTGTGATGTTTCTGAGCCTCAGTCTGCTCACTTGTAAAGTAGAACCCGCTTCTGCGCTTCTGGAAACATTGAGAGAGATACAGAAGCGGACAGGGTAGGAGCCAGGCATGGTGACACACACCTGTCATCCCAGCACTCGGGGAGGCTGAGGCAGGAGGATTGTCAGTTCAAGACCAACCTGGACGATTTATGGAGCCTCTGCCTCAAAATAAAAACAGTAAGCCGGGCGTGGTGGCCCACACCTGTAATCTCAGCATTTAGGAGGCTGAGGCAGGAGGATCATTGTGAGTTCAAGGCCAGCCTGGGCTATAAAGTAAGCTCAAAGCCAGCCAGAACTGCATAGAGACCCTGTCTCAAAGAGACAATAAATAAATAAATAGAAAATAAAAAGTAAAGGGCTGAGGAGGGAGCTTAGTGTGAAGGTGCTATGTCCAATCCCCTGCACCACCCAAAAAAAAAGGGAGGTGGGACCTGACATCAGCAGGTCCAGACGAAGGACAGCAAGGAACCCAGCAGCGAACCTCAGACTGGATCGGCTTCCCCGCCTGTGATGGGGTCGGGCCTGCAGCTCACAATGCAGGTGCCAACCACCTGCAGGGCTGCAGGAACGAAAGGAGGCAGTGCAAAAAGCTCTCGGCAGGCACCGCACCCCGGGCACAGCTGGGGGACATTCTGAACCTGTAAAGGGCACTATGACGGTACGGGCGCCAGGTCCCTGGGACAGCGCTGGCCACATGGGGGTGCTCAGTGTGTGACAAATCACCGGCTGACCTTCCACAAGGCCTTCAGCACACTGCGTGGCACATAGTAGGGAAATGCAGGGTGGGGCGGGTGGCGCACACAGCTGTCAGTAAGTAGAGGCTGTGGGCAGTTGGCAGAGAGCTGAGCCTCAAGCCACAGCTGCCATGGTTACTGCTCTGAAAACCTCTGGGTACAATGCCCGGTATACATTAAGCGCCTAACAGTGACACAGTAAAGAAGTTGGCCTAGTATGAGGTGCATAGTAGGTGCTCAGGCAGTCTCTGAAAAGGCCTAGCATGTGCAGTGTACGCAGATTCTGCTTAAAATATGCAGTTACCTGCAAAGCCCCTGGTACCGTGTGCATACGGTAGGTGCTCAGTAAGTGCGGACTGTCACTTATGTAGGCTCCTTGGCACGGTGCTCAGCATGTAGTAGGTGCTGAGTAAGTGTGGGCTGTTACTGTTGTCCAGGAAAGCTCTGAGCACAGGGCTGGGCACGTAGTGGGTGCTCCGGTGTGTGTGTTTGCGTTAAAGCCCTCAGCACAGGCGATACCTGGCACCTAGTAGGTGCTTCCTGTGTGAGGAGTGTTCCTGTTCTTGCTAAAAGGTCCTTGTGCAGTGCCTGGCACACAGGTGGTGCCGTATAAGTGGCAGCTGCTGTTTCTCTTTAGAGAGCTCTTACCATTCCCGGTCCATAGTAGGTGCGCAATAAATGAGATGTGCTGTGGCCCAGTTACGGCTCCGTATGTGTGAGGGGCCTCAGAGCGGCATTGCCCCTACCCGTACACGGTCGGGGTTCAGTACGTGCAGCCTGACAGCGGGCGTGTGACACACTGGCACTTTACTACTCTGTGATGCCCTTGACATGATGGCGCACAGTAGGTGCACAGGACATGGCGTTATTTGCTCTTTGCAACCAGGCCGAGGGGCTGCTGCTGGCCGCAGCCGCCGTGGGGGTGTGCACTGGGCTCCTTGGCCGCAGTGCGCAGATGCTCTCGCCCCCCCCCCGGTCCTGTCATAACTGCTATGGAGTCCTCGGTGTCATCCCTGCGCACAGTAGGTGTTCAGGAGATAAGTGCTTTACACTAGCTGTGAAGCCCTTGGCATGATGCTTGGCGCCGTAGGTGCCCGGTAGGTGGGGCTTACGTTGTCGGCCCCACTGACCCTTGCTGCCGGGCACGTAGAAGGTGGCCAAGAAACAGGTGCTTTTCACACTGTGCCGTGAAGCCTGGGTGAGGACGCGGCACACAGTGGGGCTTCAATAAGTAGGTGTCTTTGTCGTCGTTCAGTGAAGCAGGTGGGACACATAGTGGGTGCATATGATGGGGCTTTATTGCTTTCTCCCTTGGAGTATGATGCCTGGTACATAGTAGGTATTCAACAGATAGATGCTTTTACTATTCCACAGAGCCCTTAGCAAGTGCCTAACACAGAGTAGGTGCTCAGTAGATAGGGGTTCCATTGCTGTTCCCCTTGGTAGATGTGCCTAGCACATAGTAGGTACCATACAGGTGGGGCTTTTTGTGTTCCTCTTGGCATATGATACCTGGCATATAGTAGGTGTTCAGTGAATGGATACCTTTATATATTCTGTATAGCCCTTGCAAGTGCCTGGCACACAGTAGGTGTTCCGTAAACAGGTGCTCTTCCTGTTACTGTATGAAGCTCCTGACAAATGGTGCTGGCACACAGTAGGTGACCAATAGCGGGGCTTCCATTCCTATTTCCCTAGGCATACAGTGCCCCCCCCCACAGTAGGTACCCAGCACGTGGAGCGCTTACCATTATTCTATGAAGCACTTGGCACATAGTAGGTGCCCAGCAGATGGGTCTTCCATTACCGTTACCCTCGTCCCGGTGCCCGGGACACAGCTCTGTGCCTGATACGTACTGGGCACCCGCAGGTCCCACCCGGGCAGGGAAGGTGAGCGCAGGTTCTTGGCCAGCCCCCTCCACCCCACCCGCCCATCTCACCTTTGGTTGACACCCGCTTCTTTTGGGTTCGAGTTCTCTTTGGTTTGGTTCTGTTTTGTTTGTTATCATCTTCTTTTTTATTTTCTCTTTCCCATCTTTTGTCCCCCCCCCCCCTTCCCTGCCCATCCCACCTCCCTTCCCCCCACGTTCTCCCCTCCAATAGAACCGTCAGCCCCCCCTCAAGACGTTAAATGTACCAGCATGCGCTCCACGGCCATTCTGGTAAGTTGGCGCCCGCCGCCGCCGGACACGCACAACGGGGCCCTAGTGGGCTACAGCGTCCGCTACCGACCACTGGGCTCGGACGACCCGGAACCCAAGGAGGTGAATGGCATCCCCCCGACCGCCACTCAGATCCTCCTGGAAGCCCTGGAGAAGTGGACTGAGTACCGTATCACCGCCGTCGCACACACAGAGGTGGGGCCAGGGCCCGAGAGCTCGCCCGTGGTCATCCGCACCGAGGAGGACGGTAAGCACCGCCTGGCCCGGGACCCCGCAGCCCTCAGCCCGCCTTCCACCTGGAACACCGGGCTGGAGGTCACGAGGCAGGAGCCACGTCTTCCCTGCCTGCTTGGCACTTTCAACTTGGAATTGATGGTTTAGACCTGGGCACCCTTACTTCTGCAGCGACCAAGGTCTAGAGCCTTGTGTCTGGGGGCTCGGCTGGCCGCTCTCTCTGTTGGTCCAGCAGCAGTAACCATAGAGACAGGATGCAGGCAATACCAAGTGCTCCCATCCTTTGACGCAACACCCTGAGTTTTAGACTCTTGGGATAACCCAGGATGCGCAGCTCCGTGTCTGAGACATCCTGCCTGGAAAGCAGGTGGACTGGAGGTGCCCAGCCCCCCACTGTCTGGGGGTGGGCACGGATGTCCGCGGTGTCGGTCGGCCCACCCTGGCCAGTCAGTGGCACAGTAGAAAGTCAGAGCGAGGTGGTAATCTAATGTGAAGTCTGTGGTAGGAACTCAGCTCAAAAAAGCAATAAAGCCACCTTTTCAGCCGTACCCCTGGGGGATTGGGTGGATCTGAGTCCAGAGTAAGCGGAAAAGGTTCCCCAAGCCAGATGGGCCGCCTGCATGGGGAGCCCTAGGAGCAGGTGGCCAGACCGCCTGTTCAAGCCCCAGCTTGATCAGGGATCAGCTCCCTGGGCCTCAGTTTCCCCATCTGTGAGCAGGAACGGGTTGCTGCTGGGAGAGCTCCTAGCACAGGGTGCGGCCGGTGGCTTGGGCTCAGGGCCCTCCCGGGTGGGGGACCGCGGGGCTCCGGGTAACGG